GCTGTGCTCCCCTCCAGGCCGAGCCGCCCGCCCCGGGGAGCTGGCTCGGTGCCTTCCCCCGTCTGCTGAGCCCTGCCTGCTCTCAGAGCTGCGCTGGCCCCGCTCCCTGCACAGAAGCATCCCTGAGCTGCGCGGGAGGTGTGAGGGAGAACAGGGACCAGGTAAGTGCTGAGGTAGATTTACTTCTCCTAAGCGCGCTGTTCGCAAGCCAGGAAGTTAAAGATGAGAAGTAAGACAAAGGCAGGTGGTCAAGATAACAAGATTTGGGCTGAGACAGTCCTGGTTCTTTTGTACACTGCTTGGCCCCTCAGACTAGCACCAACTCGGGCCCAGACGTAGACTAAATATCTACTGGGGTGAGATAAGGCTTTCTGCTTGTTTCTCAGTGCAGCTTTAAACAAACAAACAAACAAACAAAAAGCTGCTTTGGCCGGTTTGCTTTATTTCTACAAGAATCCCCACCTCACCTCCTGTCCCAAGGCTAAAGTTCTTAAATATTTTTACTCAAAAAAGTGAAATGTGTTGTACTCAAACAATGGACTGCTATACTGCACTTTAAAAAGCAGAGATTAGAGCCGTAAAGATGAGCATGCCTCAGAGATATGATGGTAAAAGAGCCCAGCAAGATTCGAAATATATGTGAAGCTGTAGCCAGTGGAAAGTAAAATGTTTGCCGAGTTCAGGATGGTGAGTGTCTTTGAGAAATGGAAAATCAATTTCTCATGAGGGTTAACATGAAATAATGTTTACTTATCATTTGCAATATCTAAAAATGGCGAAGCCAAGGTGAATCCTATGAAGTTATTCTTTGAGAGTGTTCAACCTGGATGTTTTCTTATTCTCCTTTCCTGTGTTTCTGAATATTTCTCAATTTACAAAGTTCTATTTTTCAAATGCAAAGAAAAAAAAATGTGCGTTCTGTGACAACGTGATCTAAACACTTCTGTGGGAAGTTGCAGCCTTCTGTGTCATACCTTGTGTTCCTCCACGTCTAAAGATGATGCCACTCTACCTGGCAGCCTCGGCTGCTCAGGAAGCTCAGGACAGGGTAAAGGTGAAGTCTTAGGGTTAGGGAGCTGTTCGGCAGTAAAGGGTGTAAAAATTGAGTAGGTGAGGGTAGGGTCTGAACACTCCCATGTTCCAGCAAGAAAAAGCTCTCTTCCCTTTACATTTTCTGTGTTTTGAATTTTCATTTGCATGCATGGAAACTTTTCTCTTGATCCTTATCCAGTGCTGTGGTGTAGAACCAGGATATCAAGAAGTTTGTGGGATGGAGGTAGCAAAGGGAACGATACAGTTCTCCTGCGCTCCATGCAGCAAAATTGAAAGAATGTGTCTTTGTGTTCATGCTAGAGAAAGGTTGATTTCTCTCTGGATGTGGGGGAACACTCTCTAATTTGGTTATGCGAGAGGACAAAAGGAGAAAGGAGATTGTAAATTGGATTGTATGTGTTGGGAGCAATGAACCAGATGTTAAGCTATCACCCCATCATTCCATCTACCTGCCCCTCTCCTTAGAGAATTCCTTTTTATATTTTTCTTTCCACTAAAAATCACTGATCTGTGGTGAACAAAAAATAAAACTCTGAAATTCAGCCGATTCTCCCCTTTCTCCCTCTGATTTGACAACTTGCAAGGTCAGTGCTTGGGACGTTTTATGTTGCAAGAAGACAGGCTACTTGAGAAAAGCCTAAGGTGTGAAGAAAAATACAAGAATGACAAGACTGGTATGATGTGAAAGTTACTTTTACTCCGAAATGTTAAGGACAAAATTTTAAAAAGTGTAGTTCAAGTCTGTAAGTGTTAATGAGCACAATTCCTTACAATTAATTGTTTTCTTTAGGATCAGCCTGCTTTTTCTAGTACTGTCAGTGTTTAAGTCTTTATTCTTCACTTGTTCTAGATTCCATATGCCATAATAAAACAGAAGGATATCCTTTCTCTTCTTCTTAACCCTCAGTAAAACACAGAGGGCATCCACTTGCTTCTTAATTCCCATTTCTGCTGGAGTTAGCAGCCTTTTGATTTTTTAGCCTGGAAGACAGTTGGGCTTTTTTCTGTCTACCTTCATCTCAGTAATCCCACTGAGTTTCCTTCAGCCACCTGTTACCACCTGGCCTGTCCCCTCCCCTCTCACAGCCCTTTAATTGGTTGCTTCCTAATTGCTGATTCTTTCTTTGGTCCATTTAATGCTTCTTTTTAAAGTCTATAAGGCACTTCGCCAGCCGTTGGCTTTTATATGAGAAGTAGCATTTCCTTAATGAGTCTGCCTTCCAAATGAAAACTTTACTTACATTTTCCTAATGAGAAAATGTGCTTTTCTTCTACCCTTGCATGGGGGCTTCCCAAGTTTCTTTTCAATTCGTTTATCTACAACCCATGCTAACTTGGGCACTGTCTCCAAGCCTGCAGTCCATATTTCCTTCAGTCGTAAGTCCAAGAAGAAAATAAATCAATCAACAAATGTCAGTAATTTAAAAATAATACACAATGAGAAAATAGTGCTGTTATCAAGAATAGCAGTATCTAACTATGCATCTGTGCATGTTATGTACCAGGCATTGTGTTACTTGTCTCATTAGCTTTATCCACAAGCCGCATTTGTCCCAAATGGTATAGCCGAGCTGAATTTTAAAATATTATTGTATAAAACTTGGATATCCACCCTGGTCCTAGACCTGAAGAGCTGAAGCCCAGGTCCATATTTCTGCATGGCAGTAATCTCTTGATCTTAGAGCGATCACCTCCTTCAGTTTCATCAAGCCAGTGTCACCACTGTCCTCACGGTGCGCTAATGTCACACACTTGGTCCGGCTCATGTATTGGTGTGAACTCCCTGGCACTTTCTGGCACCTGAGCTGGTGACTTCTGAGCGAGACCCTGTTGTTTCCCCCATTCTAGAGACCAGAGGTTAAGAAACTGTTCTGAGCCGCTGTCAGTGTCAGCTAGGTCTGGCGCCCAGGCTGCTATCTCTCCTTATCAATTTCAGGGAATTTTTAACATTGTATTTTAAAAGGGAACAAAGCCATAATGTACATTTAAAGGATTTTATCTTTCAGATACATCATTTAATTGGGGCTTTAGAATGGTCAACAAATATTAAACACTTAAGCTATGAAAATACTTTATGTATTGTGTTAAATGTATCTATATCTACATTTGTGTCAGTGCATAAAACATATATCTTCATATAATATTCACATAAATACAGTATGACAAGGAGTTATATATAAATATAAATAACACACATTTATAGTTAAATGTACTGCATTTGAATCACACTAAACTTTTCTTTGAGGTAGGAACCATTATCTCCAAGTTCAGAGGAAGAGAAAATAGAGACAGATCTGGACAAATGCACCCACTTGCTCGTGTGGTGAAGCCCTCTGCAGAGCAAATCGCTCTGGAGACCTTCTGGTCTTGTGAGACCTTCTGGGGCAGGGGTGAGAGGCATGGCATACACAAAGGGTGATTAAAATATATGGTAAATGTTTAAAATTAAAACAGTATTACAGTAAAAGGCACATTGCCATTTACCACCCTCAGAATATTCCCTCTAACTTTGAAAACATTTATCTCACATGCTTGCCATTTTCTGAAGCAGTTTTGGAAGTCTTTTCTGAGTCTTTATGTGATGTGATAAAAAAATACAAACAATGGTGTTGCCAAGTGCCAACCAATGGGAAGCCAGGCGTATCCTCGTCCATCTTATTCAGGCTCTTCGCCAACGCCAAAATCATCTAGAAAGTTTAGCATTTTAATTCTATTCGGGACATCAAGGCAGCCATAACAGTCCAACTAAAGACAGGAAAGAAAACTTCCAGAAGTACTTCCAAAAGAGGAAAAACAATGAGATAAGTGTGTTCGAAGTGTGGGGTGGATTTTGAGGGCGATTATTGGCAACGTGTCTTTTTAAAAAATTAAATGTTCACTTTTTAAATCATACATTTATATTTTTATGAATAAAGAAACTAAAATTGTTGGTCATGCAGCAAAAACTAAAATGCAAAATTAGCAGATTTTTCAAATACATAAAGAATACAAGTATTATTTTAATTTTGTAGTTAAGCATTGCTGATCTCATCTTAAACTTTTCCTCATACTTAGGAAAATAATTTGTTTCACTCCTATTTTATAAGTATGGGTCTGCTGCTGAAGAGACAGTTTGTTCTCTTGTTGCTTCATGCCATATTAGTTCTGAAATCATAATTCTCGAGAACAAAAATGTCTACTGCCCTAATACAGTTGAGGTCAATATTTCAGCCAGTTTGTGTTCAGGGCATCTAGAGCATACCATATTATAAAGTTATTGTTTCTTTCTTTCCTTCCAGTTACTCCGCTAGTTTTCTGGACCTCTTTTGAGCAAAGATGAATATTTCTGCAAGGATATTGTAACTGGAGGGTCCAGGTCAGGACAGACTTGATCATGGGAGCCAACACTTCAAGCAAACAACCAGTATTTGATGAAAATGAGGATGGTAAGAAATGGGATGGTGGTGAATAAAAATGGAATTTTATGAAATTCAGTTATCAGCTCTTAGTTTCATAGGTAAAATGCAAGCATGATATACAGGGCCTTCAAAGAAAAAGAACTGGGAGAGTAAGCTCGAAGACTTTGTACGTTAATAGATGGATTGTATCGTTTACTTTCTTAATCGCAACTCTGTCAGACTCTTGTCCAGATGGTACTGTGGCTGGGAACATGGTGGAAAGTTAATGATTTGTTTATTCTCTATTCTGTTCCCATGATAGTTTGATCCTTACTTCTCTGCTAGTTGCTATGCAAAATTTCTTACAGTATCAGATTGCATGTGAATGATAATCAGGGATCATCATGCTATAGCATCAAGTTATATAAGGTTAGTGCCCTTGGAATTTCTAACAGCCGTGCTTCTGTGACCTAAACCAATTTCACAGTGTCAAGTCATAGGAAACAGAATCAGTTTTACTGAAGGAAAGGAAAACTTTCAAGGCCAGGTTCAGCATAGCAAGATAGCAAAGGCATAGTCCTCCCAGTTCGACTGCCACCCTCCAGTGAAGTGTGCTGCAACTTCCCTGGCCTCCCTAAGTCACGTTTTCTTCCCATTATGAAAGTGTGAGCAGACTTTTTCTTTCTTTTATTGAGTTTATTGGTACATTCTAAGTATACAGTACAATTACATCCATTATTGGGATCTTGTACCTTTACATGACAGGCCTTGGTTCTCATTCTTTCCCTTGTCCCTGCCCTCCCTTCACCCCCTCTTCCCCTCCCCATTTAAAAACACTTTATTTCCATTTTTTCATTTTCTCATATTTTTTTCTTTTCCCTGTTCCCTTTCCCCTACCTTTCCCATTTTCCCTACACCTTTATCCCTTTTCTTCCTATTTCACATGGACAATTATCTCATTAGGATCTTATGTACTATTATAGCTTTTCACACCAGAGAAACTATTCAGTATTTACACATGTGTGACTTATTTATTTCACTTAGGAGTATATCCTCAATCTGGATCCATTTTCCTATGAATGAATCTAATTTCTCATTCTTTATGGCTGAGTAGTATTCCATTTTATAGAAAAACCACATCTTCTTTATCCAGTCTCCAACTGATGGGCAAATGGGTTGTTTCCAAGATTTAGCTATTTCCACTGCATTGATTTCTGCTCTTATCTTTATAATTTCCTCTCTTGTTTGAATTTTGGGTTTTTCTTGCTCTTGTTTTTCTAGGAGTCTAAGATTCATCATTAGGTTGTTTATTTGAGCCCGCTCTGTTTTCCTAGTGTGGGCATTCAGTGCTATGAATTTTCTATGTAGAACTGCTTTCATTGTGTCCCATAGATTCCTGCATGTTGTGTTGGCATTTTCATTTATTTGTAAAAACTGATTTCTTCTTTAATTTCCTCTGTGATCCATTGATTGTTCAGGAGAGTGTTGATCAATTTCCATGTGTTTGTGAAGTTCCTATGGTTTCTTAGTGTGAGCAGACTTAAAGTGTGTAGGATAGGAACTATTTTTAGATTGTCTAGAAAAAGAAGGCCCAGGTTCTGGATAATAAGCTGTTCAGATCTCCAAATAGCCTCTTGAGTAATTTCTAGGAGTTCTGCCATTGGACTACAAAGGGAACGAATAAATTGAAGTCCAAGAGGTGTAATAATAGTCTTCTTACAGCTCCCTGTGAAGCTCAAAATGCTTTATTCATTTTACCTTCAGATTGCTCATCAATAAAGTAAGGGGATAGGGTAACCTTGAAGGTCCCTTCCAGTTCAGGAAGCTTATCATTTTGAGGTCTTAAGTCTACTTTATAAAATAGCTTCTAAGTCGTGAAAGATATTTTAATCTGTTAGAATGTAAGTTTGAGTGCAAAAACAGAAACTACAAATAATAGCGACTTACACAAGATGACTGTTTTTCTTTGTCACGGAACAGTCCAAGCATCAGTAATCCAGGGTCATATGTGGTTCCGATAGCATAGCGTCTGGGGCTCTGCCTGACTTGCTTTTTTATCTCTTTCCCCTTCTCTAGAGAGGTACTCTCACTCTCAGGCCTCAGGAGTGCTCGCTGCCACACCCAAATCCCGGCCATTGAGAAAGGAGAAAAGCTGGGGAGGCTGTATCCATTCCTTTTAAGCAATTGATCTGACTTGTCACGATCATTCACATGCACACACCTAGTTATGAAAGAGACTAGGAAATTTAGTTTGTGATCTTGGGTGGCCATCGACCCTCTAAAAATAAGTTATTTTTATTAGAAAGGGGAGAATTAGCAGTTGGTCATTGTTGGGAAATAGCTAAATTTGCCATAGTTGAGGGACATAATCTTAATTTTGAATATTTGGATGGAGACAATTAGAAGCAAAATGTATGACTGAGCAGGATGACTTGTTTCACGGTATCTGCAATCAAATTAGAGGTCTAGTCTCACTATTTGTATGAAATACACCGTAAGAAATTACATGGTAAAGATCCTAAGGAAATGTTTGCCGTCACTATTTTCATTGTCTTGATTTGTTTTATCCAATAATAAAATAGTAAAAGCAAGAATGTTATATGAGTAGTAAACACTAGTAATAAATAGTAAAGGTAACAGTGATGTTATATGAGTTTTCCATTTCTAAAGTGGAAAGACAAACCAACTCACCGTTCATACATTTGTCTCACTGTACTCTTGTAGACTCAGAACTAATATTTGCACAAGGCAGATCTTCCTAGACAGAGTGAGAAAGAGCAGCCAGCCTCATGCTTGTAATTTGTTAGGGATATGTGTCATTTGAAGGTGCTACTATAGCCTTAGGATAAAAACACACAGCCAGCCCTTCTCATGAGGTACCCAAGGAAGTAATACCTCCAAAGATGGCGACAACTGAAAAGTAAGGTACCACTTTATAACTGCCTTCAAGGGAATCTGAAAAGAAAAAGAGCTAGATTGGAGGAGAGTTCCATTTCAAAACAGGCAGGTCTTTTTTTACATCCTGTAGCTTGCTTCCTTTGGGTTGTCCAGCCCAACCCAATTATGACATCTATGAAAGGAAAAGGTAAACATGGCAATAACTCTGTGCTGCCCAGGAGCAAGGCTCTGAGTCCACTTACACACACATTTGAAAAGTAGAGCCTGCCACTTTTCTGGACATAAAGAATAGAGGAGAGAAAACATGGTCCTCTCTATCCCTGAGAAGCCCATGTTCTAATTGTGAAGGCACACAATAAACAGGTAACCAAATAGGGCAACCAGAAGACTTCAGGGTATGTTACAGAGCCTCCAAGGAAAGGACTCCATGATCTTATGGACTGTGACAGAAGGGTGTTAGCCTTTCTAGGAAGATGACATTTGAGCCGAAGCCTGCAGGATGAGGAGTTAGCTGTGCAGTAAGATGAGGGGAACAGTTCAAGCACAGGAAGAAGCAAGTCCAAAATCCAATAATGACAAGGTTGAGAATGAACCCTTGCCCATATCAAAACCCTCTCTGGTAAATGCGATTTGTCAAAGGGACTGGGAGACTTACTGTATTATTTTTTTGTTTAGTCAATCCCATAAAGTGTGCTCTGGATTGAGCACAATGTAAAATTTTATCAAGCCCCATGTAAAATTGATCTGTGAAGCATATGATAGAGGAGGGAAAGTGAAAAGCACCGGCTAATCAAAGAACACTAAGCTTATACCATTTTTAACGTTCATATTTTTGCATAAGAAATCAAACTGGGCCAGAATCTAAGGCAGTTAAATGAGCCAATTTATTTTTTTAAAATGTCGCAAAAAGAAAGAACCCTAATATGTGATGAAAAGTGTTTTACGTTTCCTTCAAATTGTTTAATAGGCCTAATACATAGGTTTGAGAAGGAAATTTAACCCATTTTCCTAAGTATTGTTTCAAGAATTTTTTATTATGGAAAAATATTTTTAATCACTTTAAAGGTTATTAAGGATTAAGATAAGGTATTATTAGATGTCCCCTGAGACAAACTATTCTTCCTAGAGTTCATCCTAACATCTGTATTCCATGGTATTCCATCTGGCCTCTGGTCTTAAGAGTCATTCTCTCAGTTACTTATGTTGATCTTTAGTGAAAACAAAGTGTGAAATTTGTAGTGCTGGTGAAAAGGGTCAGGGTTGCTTTAAGCCATCTTTTACAAATGAGGACTCAGATGATACTTTTGGCGTTTGAACTTTTAGTTTCAGTACACAACTAAGTCCTGTTTATTTCTTTCATTATGATATAATATATATTACAAAATGTGCCATTTTAAGTATCCATCTCTGTGGCATTCAGTACACTCCTGTCGTTATGCATCCATGGTCACTCCCTCTTCCTAGACCATTTTCATCTTCCTAAATTGAAACTTGTACTCACTAAATCATAAATTTGCCCTTCTCACTATTCCTAATCCCTGGCAACCACTATTTCACTTTATGTCTCTAAGACCCTTATGAGACGTATAAAATCTGTACTTCTATTACTGGCTTACTCCATTTGGCACATTTTCAAGGTTCACACATGCTGTGGCATGTATGTCGGAATTCCCTTCCCTTCTGAGACAAAATAACAATCCACTGTATGCATATACCATATTTTGTTACCCTTTTATCAGTCAGAGTGATTGTTCCCGCTCGTTGGTTACTGTGAATCATACTGCTGTCAATTTTGGTGTACAAATATCTGCTGAAATCTCTGTCTTCAGTTCTTTAGAATGGGTAGTTACATGTGGAATTACTGAATTGTATAGTCATATTTTGTTTAATTTTTGGAGTAGCTACCATACTATCTTTTGCATGATTCTGTTATATGTTCTAATAATGAAAGAATGATGTGTGGAGAGTATGAGCTCTGTTAGTAAGATGAGAGACCCAGGATCAAATCTCTGCTGTGCCACTCATTACAGATCTGTATATTTCTATGAAGAAAATCTCAGAGAGGAAGTAGCTTTCTCAGGGATTATCAGACACTAGAGGCCATTTGACTAATTATAAATTATTCCAAACGAACTTGGAATACCATGAAA